CCCACCACCGGTAACGCAGTCAAGCACGGGCGCCGACCCGCAAACAGCAAGCGCTCCGATAACGGTCCCCGTTTATTGCTTCCCCGGAGCAACCACCTGTTTTAAGGCGCCGCGCCCTCCACAGCTTCACTTAACCCCTCCTTCGCCTCTTGTTACGGATCGCAGTTCTGCCTCGTCCCACCTTCAGCCTCACGTTCCCGCTTTCCGAGGTCTGGGAGGTCCCTGCCCTTCTCTCTGGTTAAGGGGCGGCCAGCGAGAAAGCACTGCCCTCCGAGGGACCCTCTGCTTCACTTACTCAAAAAAAGAAGTGCATTCGTCAGAAAACGTCGAGGCTGCTCTGTTCCCTTCTCTCCCCCCTCCAAGCTCCCTACTAGCAAAACCGTTACACGCGTTCTTTTTTTCCGCGCATTCAGCAGACCCGCGTCCCCGCCGCCTCCCCTTCCCACGACGTGCCTGCCTCGCCCTACGGACTCCTGTGAAACGCCGGCCGCCCCGCGACCCTTCCCCAGCAGGACGCGAGGACCAGCCCACCTCTCTCCCGGTTGGCTGAGCCGGCCCCTCGGCCGTGAGGAGAGGAAGAGGGTCCAGCCAATAAGGCGGCGCCGTTCGGATCGGATCAGTCGCCGAGCGGTGGGATTGGTTGGACCGGCCCAGGCCGGCCGTGGGCGAGTGGGTAGATGGGGCAGGGCAGGGAGAGCAAGGAGCGGAGCTGGCGTGCGAGTGGAGCTGCGCTGCAGGAGCGTGAGCTTACCCCCGGCCGTGCCCGGCGGGCTGCCAGACTTAATAGTGGTCATCATCATCTTCCATCATAATCATTATCGTTGGTTTTATAATTCCCACCTCTCAGGTCGCCGTTGTCATCGGTGGCCCCAGTTCCTCATCCAAACCGAAAGACCGCACGTGTTAATCGTGGCAAGAACAATGCGAGGGCGGGTTGCACGTTGGGGTTTGGCCCGCTCGTGACTGTGGCCTGAGGCGGCACTACAGGACCGGCCCCGCCTTCTCTTGTGCAACTCATCCCTTGCTCCTCTGGAGGGGAAAAGTCTGCCGCCTTGAAGAGAAAGGGGGTCCACGATCTGCTGTGCGGCAGGGGAAGATCCTGCGAACTTGCCAGAAAACTTGCCAATTGATAGGAACCTACTTTTTCTCAGACGTAAACACATCCCATTGGGAACAGGGGTAGGTAGGGAAGGATTCCAGAGAGGCACGTGCGCCGCCCCCTTCTCTATTCAGAAAACCAGCAAGGCTTCCACCCAGGACCAGGGTCCCAGAACTGCAGTTGGCATGCTGGGAGGAAATAGAAGCCAGGCATTATTGGCGCAGCACGCATGGAGGGCACCCTTTCAAGCCACGTGCTAGCTTGTGGCACTTCGCCTAGAGAACGTTGTAATCTTGCCCCTGTTCTCTGGTAGGATGGCTTGGCACGAGGCAGACCATCTGCAAGCTCTGGGTATTCGCCATGTCAGATACAATGCCCAAGTACAGCTTATGCCTGCCTTGTGAAAGCTTGAAAAGCACTTGGGCATATTATGCAAACTTGAAAGAATGGCAGCAGTTGGCAGAGTTCCTGGTCTGCACCACTTCAGATTTCAGTGAGAAACCTTTCAGAAGCTCCTCTGTAGAAAGATGGCGGCTTCCTTGCATTTATTTATTATTTAGTTGTTCAAAATATTTTTTACCCCGCCTTTCTCCTTGAAAAAGGACCCAAGGCGCCTTACAACATTGAAAAACAGTATTTGAAGTTGAAAACAATGAACATACAACTGTGGTTAACATTATTAAAAGACATGTTTAAAGCTTTGGGGTTTTTTCCCCTAAATAAATGTGGATGTGTTGGTCTATGAAAATGTGAGGGTAACAATTAAACATTTCTTTTAGAACTATTGAATAAACAATTATCATGAACCAGAACATAGCCTTTCTCTCCTCCCTCCAAGGGGGTGGGAAGGGGCTTCCATTCTTCTAAAACAAAAGGGTTCCCAAAACTCGAGTTCCATGGGCCTGGCTGCCTGACAGGTGGCCATTCTTTCACCCGCGCCTCTCTCAGGATGTCTTCCTGCTGGGGCCGCTTCCCGGGTTCCAAGATCTCCCAGGTCCTTTCCACTCTGATTTTCCTCATCTCCCACACTCGCCATTCACTCCTTTCCTTTCTCTCCTGTTCCACTCTTTCTCCTCTTTTAATCCTGTCCTCCATTCTCTAGCCTCTGCTTCTCCCCAGTAAGACGGTCCAAGGGGAAATCACCGCTCTTTTTCTATGGTCGGCTTCCTCCCTGGGTACTTTCCGTCTCCCACTTATGGGTCCAAGGATCTTGCAACCAGATGCATTCCCAACCTGGAGGCAATGTTTCTTCCTTCCTATCTCTTTTCCCTGCTTCTAACTCCTCTCTCCCCTCGCTTCCTTTTTCTAACTGCTCTTCTCTTACTCCCATCCTCCCATGAGCTCTGGGACAGTTCTTCCTCTTCCGACCCCTGGAGGGACTCCTCTGCGGTTTCCTCTGGAGGCATAGTGAGTTCATAGTCCCCTTCTCGCTCTGTCTCCTTGGGATGGACGGTGCTCCAACGAGCAGTCTCACCTCTTGGCTCACAGAAAACAAATCTAGAACTAGACAATATCTCTATTAGGATCAACCAATTATTGCACACATGTGCAAGCTTTCAGATTCTGCAGAATTTCTGACTAGACTGGGTGGTGCAAAAAACTAAGAGTAGAAAAGCCTGTGAACATATATTCTGCAGTTACACACGAGGTGCGATCAGATGCGCATTTGTCAGGTCTGCTCTGGGGATGGGCTGTTTCGCTCTGTTTTCTAGTGACCACATGATGTACAAGTAATTGCAAACCGGCCCCTCCGTGATCCATATCTACCCATCTAACTTAGAGGCCCTGCCAGGGACTGTTGTTTTTTTTAATCCTCTATTCTCTACTTACTTACCCAGCTATTATTACTGCAAGAGAGTACAGCAACTGATACAGTATTGTCCAATAGAGGAAATCAGCACCCATAAGGTAACTAAAGAAATTGTTTACCAACAAAATCCCAAACAAAATGTAACTTTGAAACTGGGCCTCATATCAATCTGGCACAGATATAGCAGACAGTTTGCTTTTCCTCTGTGTCAAAGTTGGGAAAAATTGGCAAATGGATTTACAGTATAGTTACGATTTTTCAATGTAAAGTTGTTTTGCCCACTCATCCCAGAAAAACCAGACATTGAAAAGACTTATCTTGAAATAGACTGATCAGTCCCAGCTGCCCTTTTTTATTTGGAAGGAATACAGACACTGGAGTGGGGGGGTAAAACTAATTGGGGAAAAAAGCCATTTGGGATGGGGAAAACCTCTGGGTCTCTTTTTTATAAACTGGTTATCAGCACCAATGTTCTAAACCAGTGGTTCTTAACCTTTTTGAAAGAAACGCCCCCTTGAGCCATTGAGGAAGTTATCATCGCCCCCCTCTTATTTCTTATTATATCTTATTTATTTATTTGTTTGTTTGTTTGTTTGTTTGTTTGTTTGTTTGTTTAAGACACTTAAATCCAATGACCCCTGAAAACAAAATTCAATTCCAAGAAAATGAAATGCCCCCAAAAAGTAACATTTAATGATTTAGTTGCAAGCGAATTTTAAGACTCAAAAAGAAATATAAAAAGGGCATAAAATGCAGGAACTAAAAATTTCAAGACGAAAACTCTGAAACTAAATTAAGATAGGAGGAAAATATATATTCATGCACATTGTAAAAAGGCTGCAGCCATCTTCACAGGTTTGGCTTGCTCCAGCGCCCCCCTACCGCCCCCTTCTGCTCCAGCGCCCCCATGCCGCCCCTTTTCGTTCTACCGCCCCCCTGAAAAATGAAATCGCCCCCTGGGGGGCATTATCGCCCAGGTTAAGAACCACTGTTCTAAACATAAACTTTGACAGAAAGGGGGGGGGGGAGACCTGAACTTTTGACAGTGCCAGTCAAGACCAAATTAAGGAGGATAACTTTTAAACTCTTTCCTTGCCAGACATTAAAAAGAGTTTCCATTTCTGGTGTCAAAATATTTTAAACAATATTTAGAAAATCAGAGAATAAATACTCAGAAGTTCACTCGTTTAAGTGAAATTACTGTTTTTTTGCTTTGTTTTCTCTTGTTAAGTGTTCCTCTTTTCCTACTGCTGCACCCCACTTTTCCCAGCAATATAGTTTATTCTGGCCACTTCTGTGTTTTCATAGTATATGCATGGTAGGGTAGGCTAATGTTACTCATTTTTGCTCAAGTTGAGAGTTCAGTCTTGACTTGATTGAGCATCCACTTTTCTGCTTTTCTGACTTGTCTTCCGATACAGCATTTAGACTACGTTGATTTTTGTCTCTTTTTTTCTTTACTACCTTTCTTTCACATAGTATGGATGAGTTTGACTTTGCCTTCCGGTAATTCTCTTTGTTAAATCCAACCTCTCCCTTTTTTGTTATTTCAAAAGTTATTTTAGAAAGCATGCACATAACACGTCTGTAGGGCTTTTGATCTCATACAGCTTATCTTTCTCAGCTTGCCTAACTTGAGGAAGGAGTTTGGAAATTAGAACATAGTTTTCTAGTCTGCAATCTGCAGAGTGGGTGTGCCAACATTAACAAGCA